CCCAGTGAAATGTATTAGCAAAGTGGCAGCCTCAATGAGTTTAAGTGTGGCAACATTTATGAGGTTGGCCCAGGACTGGGCAGTGTTTCTTTCTGTTGTGCATAGGGTAACTATGAGTTGGTACTGATTCGATGGCACCTGACAACAACAACAACAACAATGGTATTTTGTTGTAAAAACAGGAATTTGTTCACTAACTACAGCCACTGTGCCTAGTTTATCACACCTAAATGAAAAGCTGTTCACAAAAATGAAGTCAGCACTCTAAAAGCTTTGAAGTTTGCAAGATATTATCTGATCACGTGTTTGGGGATTTATCAAATAAATAAGCTCAACAATTAAAAACCTTCTTAACATGTGCCTCAAAAAAATAAATTATATTAACAAATTGAGAATAAATGTGCTTTGTATCACTAACTTAAATTACATTAAAAAAAAAAAAAGCATTCATACTATAGGCAAAGTGCAAGCAATACTGGTTCATTTTCAACAATAAGACATGTGGTAGAGACTGTGAACACAGTAACTGACATGACAGGCTCACTGCTCTCTCTCTCTCCTGATTTATAGGCTAAAAGAAAAATGCTACTTTCCCATCTCTCTTGCAGCTACCAGTGGTCACAGATAATTTGTTTGGTCTGAAAATACAAATAGTTCTTGGCAGAGTAGGGACAGAAGTGGAGGTAAGTCTTGAAAGCAGAAACCCTTTCACTCCATGTCTTCTATTTTGTTGGGAAATGTCAACCCTTTAAATGGGAAGCTCAGAATCAATTCTTAAACACTTAGGATGTGAGTCTGAGGGGAAAAAAATAAGCAGAGCCATGTTCTCTGGTGAAATCACTAGCACTGACTGACTGCAAAATGCACACCAAAGAGGAAAAACAAATATCAGCACTCTAAAGTGCTATTCATATAAAGCAAGGCTTCTTATTTTAAAATGTTTTTGGTGACTGTGGAAGAGCTGCCTCATCAAAGTAGAGTTGACCTTGATGATGTGAATGGAGGAAAGCTCTCGGTGCCTTCATTTGTTGACAGGATACAACTAGTAATATGGAGATCCAATTAATAATTGGATCACAAACTGTATGAAGTATGAAGCTAGGAAAACTTAAAGAAGTAAAAAATGAAATGAATGCATAAACATTGATACCCTAGTCAGTAGTGATGTAAAATGGACTGGCATTGGCCATTTTGAATCTGACTATCATAAGAGTTTACTATGCCAGGTATGACAAATTGAAGTGGAATAACATCACAGTTATAATAAAAAAAGAATATTTCAAGTTCTATATTGAAGTATAATGCTGTCTGTGATCTAATAATACCCATATGCCTATAAGGAAGAACAGTAAATTCCACTACTATTAAAATTTTTGCACAAACCACTAAAGACAGTGATGAAGAAACTGAAGAATTCTATCAACTTCTTCAGTCTGAAATTGATGAACATGTAATCAAGGAGTATTTACAATTACTAATGATTAGAATGCAAAGGATGGGAACAAAGAAGAAGGATTAGTAGTTGGATAATAGGCCTTAGTGATAGAAACGGTAAGTGTGATCTAATGACACAAATTTGTAAAAACAATTATTAATTGAAAACAGTGTTTTTGAATACCAACAAAGATGACTATGCACATATACCTCACCAGACAGTATAGACAGAAATAAAACTGACTAAAATCAGTGAGACAAGACAGTGGAAAACCTCCATATCATTAGCTAAAACAAGGACAGGGACAGACCACGGAACAACCCATTAACTGCTCACATCAAAGTTCAGGATGAGGCTGAAGATAATTAAAGCAAGTCCACGAGAGCCATAATTTGACCTTGAAATGTGCCTCCTGAATTTAGAGATAATTTCAACAACACATTTGATGCATTACATACTAGTGAACATACACCAGAAGAGTTGTGGGATGACATCAAGAACATCATACAGGAAGAAAGCTAAATGTCAATAAGAAGACAAGAAAAGAAGATTCCCTGACCAGAATGGGTATCAAAACAGACTCCTGAAACTTACTCTCAAGCTTAGAAACACTAAAACTAATGGAAGATATAAGTAAAAGAGCTGCAGAGAAAATTTGAAGGACAGACAAAGAAGCAAAGTAAGGTATTTTAATGAAATATGCAAAGACCTGGAGCTAGAAAACTAAAAGGGAAGAAGTTGCTCAGCATTTCTCAAGCTGAAAAAAACTGAAAAACAAGTTGAAGCTTCAACTTACAATACTGAAGTATTCTATGGGCAAAATATTGAATGATGCAAAAAGCATCAAAAGATGCAAGAAATTCACAGTCACTGTTCAAAAAAAGAAACTGTTGATGCTGAATCATTTCAACAGGTAGGTTATATATGATCAAGAGACAATGGTACTAAAGGAAGAAGTTCTAGGTGC